TTTTGAGACTGATGTTGGGCATGTTGCCTTATTTGAGTGAGCATGGGGATTGTCCATGACACTTTCTGTTAGTACTTTTTAGATTGGAGTTGTATAAACTGTTAGATGGTCCGGTCTACGTTGTTATAGTTCCGTGACTAGAGCCACACTTATATTATCTATGTTATGAGGTATTTCAGTTAGCTGTTTATTGCAATTACATACAGGCGATGTTTTATTAATTGATTATTAAGCAAGTTGATAATGTTAATGGCATCATAATTGAAAAGAAAAAGTAATTCTACATTTTTAATTAAGCGCAACTTAATACGATATTATGATAACATTGCCGGATATATACGGGGTGTTACATATCTCGTCCCACACCTTCAACGTTTGGCTTGAAGAGATCCCTAGTAAGCTTTGTAAAGAAAGCTGTAATGACTTCTCTGACTCGTTCACGTCTGACACCACAGTCAACCCTTCTCCTTCCTGGTTTCCCTCTCCTTCCTCTACTTCTTCTTCGTCGACCAGCAACACATGAAGTTTCGAACCTGACACTTGTGATTTGGATGCCAACGCTCGTCGCACTTAAAATAGAGACCTTTTTGATGTCGGTCGCGCCACTCCTCTTGCGATAACCTTCGCGTCTAACCGGAATCACTTTCTCCGACGCGATTTCCGGTGCTAGACGTTGCAGCCCTTGTCGCCACCCCTTCGCTAGGGTTCTCCGTTTGGACAATTCTTGGGAGTAAATGACCCACGCTGGTATTACTGGAACCAACATTAGAAGAATATGAATTGGGCTGAGTTGCATTTCCTGAGCCCACATTCGTCCCCGCCCAGGTTTTATTCTGGGTTGGGCATGAACCCCTTTGCTGGCCCAAATTTGTCCGGATCAGCCCTGTGTTCCAATTTCTTCCATTCAGCCCCAACCCCTCTTCTCTTCAAGCTTCATTCCTCCGTTCCACCTTGATGGAGAATTTCATCATATCCGTTAGACTCAGCTCTGGTGTCATCATCAGGTATTCCCTTATGCTACTGCGTACTCCATTCAACCACGCTCCCTTAAGCACGTCTTCGTCCCCAATCTGTAGGCCCCCCACCATCTTCTCAAATTGAGCTCGAAAATCCACCACGCTCCCACCCTGTTTGAGCGTATACAATGCTCGGTAAGGATTGTCCAGTGCCTTTGGTTGAAAACGGCTACGCAACTCTCGCCTAAAAAATTCCTAACCTGCGTTAACGTTGCTCACCTCCCACCAATGGAACCAATTAAGTGCTTCCCCTTCGAGAACCATCAACACCGCAACCACCTTCTCTGCTTCTACTATGCCATTTACAGTGAAATACCTTTCTACTTTGCTCAACCACCCAAATGCATCCTCACCGGAGAACAGAGGAACCTCCAAGCGTCTGCCTATTACAATATTTTGATTAGTTCGTCTCCCATTTCTTCTTTCCGGCAAACCCGACTAGTCGTAATCTGATTCATTTTCTCCGTTCTGAGAGGGACTTTGTCTCCTTATATCCATTTCGTCAAATCTTCTAATAATACCATTCATTCCAGCCTCACTAGCTTCTAATCTACGAAGCACCTCATCGTGATTCGCATTGTTTCTGCGCAGACCTTCCTCCAAGAGGGCCAATATTTGATCCATGTTGCGTGTCAATACCATCCGCAGAGCTCCCAGATCGGAGCTCTGATACCAATTTGTTACAGATTTCTTCTCAACGATAAACAACAACTACTAAAAGGAATTAATGATCTAATAACATAGGATTTTTTGGCCTGAATACTTCAGATTTTTTTATATATTTTCCAAAGACAATTACAAGACAATTAAACAGAGACAAATTCAGCATTACATCTAAAAGAGAAAATTACAATGAATCGTAATTTGCAACAACGGAGAAATACTCAAGCTAATTCTAAAGCAATTATAGAGGCTATAGGCTTTCCCATTCACCAAAGCCAGGTGCCCAAGGTTCAGTATTTCCACGATGCCTCTCCCCTTGCCATCCATGCTCAATATAACCAATTCTCTCGCCCTTCACGTTCCATTCTGTTAAGGGGCATTCCTGTAATCTGTTCTGCTGACGTGATATCCATGTTGGTATCAGTATTGTAATGGTTCTTTTAGGCCATTTGGGCCCAAACCTTTCTGGTCTTATCCCTTTTGTATGTTTTGGCCTGAATTGCATCAGATAATCCTCAAAATCCATCTACCAATCAAAACTTCTAACTAAAGTATTTAGGTATGTGTGTAAAACACATGTTAAAAATATAGGTATTGCAAGTTCTTTAATGTGTGTGTGGCTAGTGGGTGTTTGAGTTTTTATTTATTTATTTATTTATCATGTTGTGAATGTAGATCGAAAATGAGTGATGTGCTTGATATGTGTGAATGAAGAAATTCTTCTTCTTTTTTAACCAAATGATGATAGCTCAGTTGGCGCTAGAAAATTGAGCAGGTGGGGGATGAGAGCGTGTATTAAATCCTTCACGGTATCGTTTTTGGGAAGGGTTTGATGTCTTAATCCTACGACCTGCCCCGAATCAGACTAGTCGCGAAGCGATGAACTGATTAGAATATCTCAAAAAAAATCCTTTTTTGAAACTTCAATATATCATGTATTTATTGAATTTGGTGGAAATGAGTTCAACCAACACTTGGCATGGTCCATAGAGAGAGAAAAGGAAAAACTTCAATCCAATAGTATCATAGTTACACCATTCACCCTAAAAGTATTGCACATCTCCAAGAAATTTATGAGATAATTTGGATTCTTATTTTGCATTCGAGCAAACTGTGTTTTGTAATTGATCAGACCAAATACAGTATGGATTGGCCTATATGTATTGAGCTCAATCACACACGGTTGAATCACCTTACGTCGTTGTTGGCCTGGGCCTAGTGTTGCTGTTAGAATGATCTTGAGCTTTGTCCTTCACGTTGGCACGTTGCTTCAAATGAGGGGGTACCTGCGAAGACACTCTGATGCTTAAGTTAGTATCAGAGGCAGGTGTGTTATGTTGTTAAAGTAAAGGATGATCGTACCTTGGTGGTATATCGTGTGTTTATATAGTAACTGGGATGCCGCCTTAGTTAAGGCGGCTTGGCTTCTGAGTGGCCAGCCTTGGGCTGCAGGTCATTTAGAGGACCTGTGTAACCTTATCTTTCAGAGGATCTAGTAGTAGATTTGAGGCAAGCTGGAGTTGTTCGTTGTTTACTGGAGCTAAGGCGCGGTGGAGTTACCTTGAGCCTTAAGTTTACTTCTCTTAGAAGGTTTCATACGTGATATGAGAATCGATTCTTGTGTGCTGCGATGAGACCATCGCGTCCTGTATGTCGCGATGGAGATATCGCGTCTGGAACGCCGCGATGTGGGCATCGCGTCAATGCTTGTTCCTTGTGCTTCGGAAGGGCTTGGACTTTCCTTATGGGGCTTTGATTGGGCCTATATTTTACTCGGATCAGTAATATTTTGGATCACTGATTATCTAAGCTCATAGTCATTAAAGGGTGTTTTGCATTCTGTGTCATACTTACATAAAAGTAAGTGAGTCTAATTATAAAGAGAAAAAAATTTCTACAACAAAAACAGAAATATTGAACCTATTGTATATAGGGTTTGTTTTTCTTATGTTACATGAGAAAACAAACCCTTCCTACACACCATAAAAATGTTTGCCATTCATTTTTTTTTTTTTTTTTTTTAAATAAGTGGGTCCCACACTTGATGTATTTATCACATGAGATTAGAATTCTCCTACGACATAAGATTTATTTTTTCCATTGTATATATACCTAAATTTTATTTTACATATAACACATTTTTTTTTGGAGATTATCCCCTCGGTAATTTTACAGATTCTCTATAGACTAATCTGGAGTTTGGAACGAGTCCAAGATTAAGGCTTTAAACTCTTCCCAAAGATGATATTGAGGAGGATCGAACACATGCTCTCACCCTGCTCAACTCTTATGCGTCAACTGAGCTACTATCATTTAATTAACACACACACATATATATATATATATATATATAGTCTCCTTAACCAGTTCATTCTTTAGACTAGTCTAATTTAAGTACCGTCGGATTCTACAGAAAGAGCAGCTCTGTCAAGACCATTTTTTTTATTCCCCAAGCTCGAATATAAGACAACTAGTTAAAGGACATAAACTCTTTACCTTTTGTACGAGTATTTGATAGACACTTTTATTCTGGAATCTGTGACTAAGAATTAGCGGCTTGTCGAAAGTAGTTTAATTTTAGCAGACTGTGAAGTGTGAACAGGGAATGTATTACAACCAAAAATGAGACTGTGAACAGGGAATGTATTACAACCAAAATTGGCTTTGGCGTTTAGAACTAGCGCTTGGTGCTCCACCTTTTTTCCACTTGAAGCTTCTGGAAGTGCTGCATCTTAAAAAAGAATTGCGGTAAAAAGTCAAAATTTATTCAAGGAGGGGAAATAACTAGTTGGGTTGGTAAGAAGGCGATACTCTTACCGCTTTTACAATACGTCAAAGCAATTAATTTAACTTAAAAATTTGAATTATTAAATAAAAAAAATATTAATATATATTAAGAGCAATTAAAAATGTCAATTTTTTTAATTTAACACCAAATTTTAATTATTAATTTTTATCAATCCAACAATTATAATTTATTAAATCATATTTATTAATTAATTATTTTATTAATTTTCAATAATAAATTATAATCATTAAATTAACAAAAATCAACTGGTAAGATTTTAACACCCCGGTCCTTATATATTAATATTAAAAGCACAATTTTGTTCTCAAATTACAAATTCGTGATAGCACTTGCACCACCCATCAATCACCCCCAAGTCCCCCACTTCTAATAGATACCATCACTATTCACTCTCACACTTTCCTCCCTTCACTCTAAGATACCCACCCATTTACTCAGCTCTAAGCAAGTGCTGATACCTAAAGTTTAGCAGAAATTTAATGTCCACGAATTAAATATTTGTGGTACATTACCACTCAATAATAGAGATAGTAAACTTTTAACACATCCTGGATGCTTATGAATTAAATTGATAGTTGTTTCCACCGAACAACTCGTACCAAGTGAATGAACCAAAGAAATTTTGGAGGGGAATTGAAAAAACATTGGTCACTCTGAAAGATAGTACAAAGTTCGAAATGAAACGAGTCATCAAACACTTAACACAGGAAAAAAGAAGAAGAAAAAACTGTCCTCTGGAAGCCACAAAAACTGTTGTATCAACAATCCAAGTAATGATATTAAAAAATGGCACCCAGTAGTTGCACCATTCTTTTGTTTTTCGCTGGACTATAGTTGCACCTAACTATGTATGTATTAGTTATCACGCTTGGAACTTCTGCTGCTATACATTTTATTTCAGATAACCCCCTTCCATGTCTCTGGCATGCTCCAATTGGCCATATTAGCCACAAAGTATAAATCAATCCATATGGTTGTGGAACCCAGGGAGAAGGGAAGTGATAAATCCAAATACAATCATCTGGATCTCCTTCACAATTCCCCACCACTGGTTGCCAGCATTGCCTCTACCAGGTTCCGCCACATTTTCATTCTCAACTGCCCGGTCCGCATCATTAGTGGGCTGGTTCCCAATCTCAGCTTCAGGTTGGCCCTCTACCAAAAGTTAACAATAAGAAAAGGCAAGCATGTGTCCATAAGTGATCAAAACTTAAATTGATAATTATCCGTACAGAAACAGTGCATGTATTTAAAAAGTGAAATTCAACCCATAGAAAAAAAATAAAATAAAATGAACCTCCAAAGCTTCCAAGAAACAAATACTTCGCAGATTACATCATAAATTGCATCAGCTCTATCATTTTTTTCAAGTAGAATCAGCTCTTATCATTTAGGTTTCAAAACAAGCACATGCAAAATCATATGCATAAAATGAAAGCAAATCATACCTGCTGGAGCAGCATTGTCAATCTCCTGCCTGGCAGCAGGAACATTTTCAGCCCTGGCTGCAGGTCTTGGTGAATGAGGAGGTGCTGCTGCTCTATGCATACCTTGTGAAAGCCATCTTACAACCGGTGTCAAAGCTCCAGTTTGATATCTGTAACACATCTCAAAAGTAAAGCTTCCATTCACAACCTAACCACAACTGAGTTCAGCAATGTTACATGCACCGATATTTACACATGCTCACCCATACTAAGTCCAAATAAACAGACACTGAATATGTAAAAAATTGAATAAACAAAATACAAGATATGACGGGGAAATCTATATCAGAAGCATTTCCTGGGTCGGAGTTCTACAACCTAATGATCATACATGGCAGAACTTGCAAGCAGTAAACATCTTAAAACAAAAAAATGGTAAATACTTACAAATATACAAGAGCAGCAAATAACACAAGGACAGCAAGCCTCTGCCTTGATCCATCTTGGTTGAACAAAAAGATTACAGCTGCCAGCTTCAACATAAGCAACAAATCAATTTGAAATGCAATTTGAAATCTCCTAACAACAACTTGTCTTTGAGGTGCAGGCTGCTGCTGTTGAGGATGCTGTTGCTGTGCTGCTTGCCCCTGATTTTCACTGGCAGCAGCAGCTTCAGAACTAGGCCTACTGCTGATGGTGCCCATTCAGTTAAAGAAACCATTAATATTAATTAAAATATTTTTCAACAAAAATAATCACCAATAAGACAATTACTATCATTGTTTAAAATGTCCAATTTTGTTTCTCCTTCTCACCTACAATTCTGTTTTCTTTAATTTCCACATTCCCTATATCTAATTTTCTTGGTAGACTGTATTAAAATCCACCCTATCAAATCCCTAATTGTTTCTTGCTTGATTTATCCCTACCCCATCAACCCCAAATCCTTATTCCCGATGTTACTGTTCACAGACCTAAAAAGCCACGTGCTTGACCTTTAACCCTACTTCTACTTCTAAATCCCTCTTGCCTTTACATACCTAAAATAACCCTTCAATCCATCTACCCATGATTCCCCAAATAAAACCCTACTTTCTAATTAGTTTAAGTACTAACTAAGCCTTCCACTGTCATACATTAAAAGTTAATAAAAACATTTTACACTTAGGTTTATTTCCCCATTAGAAGTAACATGGGAAAACGCTATGTGTGATTTTAGCAAATCAACTTGAATGTATTATAAGTTTATAGCTTATTAAAGATGATAATCAAGTTTTGTTCACAAGAACTACAGTATATAACATGCTGTTAGTGAAGGTTTTACATAGAGAAATTCAGAGAGAGAGGAGGGAGGGGATTCATCATTAAAAAGGGGAACACATACATGGTCCTTTTCTGATGCCTCTACAAAACCATCCATGTCTTAAACCATCAGCTCTAACTCCGTCAAAATTTAACAACAACTGCATGGAAAACTCCTTCCTCATATTGCTAGCAGTTACAACATCCTTGCTTTAAGTAATGTCATTTCAACATTCTTTTATTTATACTTTAGCAATTCAAAAAACTATTCTTCTTCTATGAAGCGATCATTGCTGACCAAGTTGATATTGCAAATCCTAGAAATTTTATAGTTCAGCTAAAGTATCTACAGGAAACAAAGTATGAAAAATGTATAAATGTACTCATTTATTTCCAATACATCCATTTTACAAAACATGCTTGAATATCAGCATAAGTAGCAAATTCCTTTAAATTGTGCAATAACTAAGTTTCAAATAGGCCAGAATATCATCATAATAAAATAACTAGCAATAATCACATACGTGGGAGTGTGGTAAGTCAGCGGAATCAGAGTGTTGTATGGAAGTCCAGTAACATGTCTATCAAAGGGATGAACAGGAACAGCATATATGCCAGCACCACGGTTCACCTGTTCCTCATTTTGTGGCTGAGGAGTTAACCCTGGAACAAGTGCAGGGTACATAGCAGGAAACATTTGATAATATCCAACCGGAAATGGAGGAAAATTGGAAAATGCAGGGACCTGAGGCAACAAAAGCCACACAAAAATCATGACCACAATTCAAATACATGCATCTATAACAACAACAACAACGATTCAGAGCACATTTCCATTCACAAGTTCACAGAGCAAGCTCAGAATACGGACAACTAAAAGCACAAATTTGAGCTAAATCCCAAATTAACATTTTCGATTCCGCTTAAAATTTGTGTTCTGTGAGCTCGTGTCTGCAAATTAACAAAATACAAAAATTAAAAAATAAAAATTGATGCCCCAGGTACCGATTAGATTGCACTGCGAATGATCCTGGTCTATCAGTTAAGAAATCAAACAACTATGTACTTGAAAGGAAAATAATAATAATAATAATAAAACCCTAGCTTCAGTTACAATTATATGAAAATGGGTTTTGTGCATTTGATATTAGAGCAATCAAAGGCGTAGACGAGGCAGTGGGTACAGAAACTACGAAAGCGGAAATGGAATTGAAGTAGATAGTGAAACCTGGGATGAATCTTGGGGCGATTTCTGAGGACGAGGAGGAGGAGAAGAAGAAGAAGAAGAAGGTTGTGAGCTCGACGGCACCGTTTCGGAAGGGTTTTCTGCCATTGGGATAGATTTGCTCAGGTGTCAAAGTGTTTGGCTTTGTAAATGTGAAAATTGAAAGTTTGAGATTTGAGGTTTTATTCAACGCCGAATGAACTCAATTCATGAGGAAGACAAGAGAGGAATTATTGCGTGGATTCGTAGCACAAACAAATCACCATATGACACGTAAGACTCATTACGACACGCTTGTAGATGTGTACTGTTTTGTAACTTTCTTTCTTTCTTTTTTTCGAGATAGGGGAGTGCCTTCAGTATAATTTTTTTTTCTTAAAACTTGTACAATTATAGATTTGTCGATGTGATCAGGATATTTTGATAAAATTTATATAATAAAAAAATAATAATATTTTTAAAATTTTTTTGATTATCAAAACGATATAATTTTAAGATTGTTAAAATTAATTTTATCTTTTGTAATAAGATAAATATTTTTTCCTAAAACTATTATGTTTTCTTTTAAAACTAACTATTTTAAAAAAAAAAATCAATATGAAACTATCCAGGCACAAGATGTTATTCCACAAGTGAGGCAAGAAATAGCATCTTTAATATATAAAAAAAGTTGCTGATTCTTTCTTCGTTCTACCAGTTATTCTCAACATGGTTATCAAGTTCAGAACCTCAAGTTGGGCTTTTCCTATTGCTTCTATCCAACAACCCGGTCATGGCTATCTGCAACCTAGAGCATACTCTAATCTATCAATAAGTCTACGCATGCACTCAACCACCATTCGCGCCTTCGGCAGCTTGAAGGAATGCACTACTACTATGAACATGGAGGTGTTAGAACAACCTCGGCCTGCTCTTCCTCTGTATAAGCATTAGTTGTGGGATAGAGAAAAAGTTTGGCTTGAGACATTTTGAGAATTTTGTGAGAAAAGTTTAAAGCTTTGATTTTGAGGGCAACTCTAGGAGAAGCTTGAGTGTTAGATCTCTTTAGGAAAGTTTGAGTAATTACCGCTATTGCATATGAGGTTTGAGTATACCACCACTTGTTGGTAAAGCTTGATTCTTGCGACCTATTTTTTTTTATAGTGGAAGTTTGATTATGGACTAGTGTCCCGTGATTTTTTTACTTTTTCACACTGAAGAAAGTTTTTCCACGTTAAAATCTTGTTTGTATTCATTCTCTCTCTCTCTCTCTCTCTCTCTCTCTCTCTCTCTCTCTCTCTCTCTCCCTTTTGCAATTTTTGTTTCTGCTACATATAGGCTGACTTGGTGAGTTCAGGCCGACCTTTCTGATAGTCGAGCTCGACGTTTGACTTCTGCAAAGTCTCCTTAGCTGAGATTGAGGGACCGAGTTTGTCCCAACAGTAGTATAAAAGCTCGGTTTCGATGGGTTCTAAAGGAGACGAGATGGAAACCAAAGGCTCTGCCCATAGTGGAGACATGTTCAAGCTGATCACGGACAACATCACATACTGGAGATCGATGATGGAAGACCACTTGTATTACAAAGACTTGTATGGGCTCATCCTCAATGCGACGAGACCAGAAGGAAGAACGAGAAGGAATGTAAAGTCCTGAATCGGAAGGCGGTGGCTATGATCAGAAAATACATCGACAAAAGCCTTTTTGAGAACGTGTCCGAGTTTACAAATGCATACGAATTGTGGATGAAGTTGGAGTCTATGATTCAGAAGAAAACTCCCAAGAATAAAGCATACCTGGTACGTCGACTTACAAAGCTCAAATACAAGGAAGGTGAATCAGCTCATCACTTACAAAGGTATTGTGAATACAAGGATGGTGAATCAGCAGCATACCTGGTATGATTGAGCACCTCAACACTTACAAAGATATTGTGAATCACCTGTCTAAGGCCGAGATGAAGGTTGATAACAAGATGTAGGCTTTGCTGTTGTTGAGCTCGATGCTAGAAAGTTGGGATACTCTGACGGTGACTTTGAGCAACTCGGCTCCTGATGGTAAGATGACAATGAAAACTGTGACTGTAACACCCCGTATATATCCGGTAGTGTTATCATTACATCGTCAATTTCATAAAATATCACCTGAATGTGAATTGTAATAAGACATCTACTGAAATACCTCAATATAACATATAAAGTGAGTATCTAAGTCACGTTATTACATCACGTAATCCAGACAATATCCTGATACATTAATACAACTCTAATTAAAACAAGACATAACAAGTCTACGTGGCATGGACAATCCTCATGCTCACCAAATCAACAGCGTCTCAACAAGATAATCCAAAATCATAAAATGAAGCTAAAAGCATCTAAGCACCAAGCATATCCAGCATCCAACAAGTCAGCATATAATATCATCAATATCTAACTCAGCTTCGGCCTCCTGCCGCCTGAGGTCTCAACATTACCTGACCCTGAAATAAGCATTCCCCAAACGTGGGGTGAGATCTCTAAACCAGAAATCTCAGTAAGACTAGGGGTCCTCAAGGATCTTCCACCCCAAGCTCACTTACACGTGCAATATAAGTTCTAAAAGCATTTATATCAATATCAGTTCCAAAACTATGCAGTGCAACAGATATTCATGCCATGTGTGTTTATCACTATTCTACTGTCCAGAGAAATGCAGGAATACGTCTATACCTACATGTAGTACAAGGAACACCGCTTGCACCTCACCCACAGCCTCACCATCTTGTATGTACCACATACTCAGGCTTACCGTATAGGTGGAACACCACATGCATATCATAAAGGCACTAGCATATAACAGCTCAACAGCATTTTCAAAACATCAAAAGCATGTAACACAGCATGCATATAACCATACCCCCGTGGGACATGGTGGAACCACAACATGGCTAAACCGAGGACACGAAAGCTTACCTTGTAAGCTCACTATCCAATGCCAAGAGTCCTCACAGCTCAAGTCCAACACACAGAAGATCACAATCTGATTTAGGACCAGCAAGTGTATCAACATACATAGCTCAAAAGCATTAACATAAAGACTACGTTCTCCTTTTACGATTTACGTCTTAAGGCTTCCAACAAAGCCACAAGCCCTTAATCACATGATTCTGACTTAGTTCATTAATTACAGAAGTTCAACTTCATCAATCTAGGGTCCACAAACTCCCAATAGCCTACTGTCCTCACAACACAGCTACTGTTCTTCGAAATCTCAGAATATTCAGATATTCGTCGGGACATATCCGGATATACAATATCCGGATATCTCACTGACAATATCCGGATATTCAATATCCGGATATCATGATCCCCATATCCGAATATCCATATTCGAATATCCATATCCGGATATCCATATCCGGATATCAATATCCGGATATTTCACGGGCAAATATCCGGATATTTCACGACAAAATGCAGTTTCTACATTTCGCGAAGATATCCTTCAAAGGTTGGGTTTTTACCGATTTTAGACACTAACACATGCATTTCTAGGTGTGTTAAGCATTACCCAACATTAGGTTATCATCTTTTAACAATTACATGCATCAAGGTTCCATTTTTAAGCATAAAAACTCAAGTTCAAAGGTGGTGATCATACCACAAGCTAAAAACAGAGGTAGATGATGCTCTTGGAGCTTTCTCAACTGCTCCAAAACTCAGACCAACAAAGACCACGAAAATGAGAAGCAAACAAGGCTCTTCCTCACCAAAGGTGGCTCCTTGGACCTCCAAATGAGAAACACAAGGTTCACTCACTCTCCAACCCAAAGTCAGCACCCAACACCCCCTAAAACTGACCTCCTTACACAGAAAAGAAGCCATTTTCCCACTCACAAGGATGGTTCTTACTCACACCAAGTGTATAGATGAAGAGAAGTGGAAGAGGAAGCTTCAAAGCTCACCAAATGGAGCACAAGGCAATGGAACAGTGCACACACACAAGTTGACCAGCCTCTCTCACGTAGGAATGAAGGAGTCTAGGATTTTGTGCCCATAATAAGAGTATTTATATCCCACTCACACTTAAACACGCAGTATTAACTTTAATTGCTACGCTTAGCATTTTAATACCAAACTTTGGATTCTTAACCTACTCAATTTTACAAGAATTATCATATTTTTATTATATTTTCGGAGCACCTTTCCGGTACGCGCTTTTCATAGCCAGTATCAGTTTCTGGCACCAGTTCTCATTATTTAGACTTGAAACTCGTTTTACAAGTCCTATATATTATTATAGTAATTATTATGCACTTATTATAATTTCTCGGGATACTTTTTCGGTACGCATTTATATCGACTAGCAGAACCGGTATCTGTAATTTTCTCCCGAAAAGCGATTTCAGCATTCTGAATCACTTATCATAATTATTAAAGCCTCTTAATAATTATTAGGGTCAATTATGGAATCATTTCCTAATTTAACATAATTAATCAGTTAAACTCCTTATTTAACGGTGCGGGTTCTTACAGTGACAGACAACCTCTTGAATGAAGAATCCAGGAGAAGATAACGAGGTACAAGCAGCACGTCCGAGGCCAACGTTGTTGAGAATAGAGGAAGGTCCGACGCCTGGGATTGAATTAAGAATCGGGGTTGTGATGGAGGAGATATGTCTAGAGGCCGGTCAAGGTCGAAGTATAAACTGAAATGCTTCTATTATGGGAAGCTCGGACATAAGAAGTCGGACTACAAGACTCTACAGAAAGATGAGAAGAACGATGTAACGCTCGGCCGCTTCAAGAATCAATGACTATCCCCACATACTAACACGAGACTTTTCAGTGTGCTTTATCCTCACTCGCACACTTTCTGGGAAAACTTCCCAGGAGGTCACCTATCCCGGAATTGCTCCAAGTCAACACGCTTAACTATGGATTTTTTCCATTCCGGGCTACCGAAAAGCAGATGCATCTTGTTAGTATAGGTAGTACCAATTAATTCTTATAAGGTATCCCAAACTGTGCAGTCTCATACCTGCACAGTCTTTGGAATCCCTCTCTTTCGGGTGTCGATTCGATTCATTCGTTCATGTAACCCCCCGCTGGAAGCCTGTCAGGAGCCTCTCCTTGTCCATGCCCTTTTGCACCGACGATAACTCCCCGCCCTCGTCAGCGTTTGGGATGTTACAAACAACACTGTGAAGCCGGATCAGATCACTC